TCAGAAGTTGTACAGTAAGCGCTCTATCTATACTACGAGTATAGGCGAGCGCGGGTGGAGGGGGGGGGGGGCAATGTTTCACTTAGTGGCACGAGAACAACGGGGATTTATAGGCTATTGCGCAATTTATCCCTCCCCCACAGCCTCAACCCCTAGAAGAAAACACTCCTCACGGCTATTACTCGGAGTCACCTGCACGCGCCGACGTAATAAGAAGCGGAATTATAATAACCACAGATCACCAGACCGGTGACTCTTTTCCTTCTCTGTTTGTATATGATAGGGAAAAGTTGCATGACTCTTAACTGTTATACTCGTTCTTGTACTGCGTTCTTGTACGTATTGCTTAGTCTTGGGCCTTTTACACAATGAACTGCATGAGTCTGATTGTAAAAAAAATTGTAACAAGGTCGCTCGGTGGATATAATTTGCACCCGAGAGATGGAAATTAAATCTCCCGTTAATTTCACGGCTTAGACTGTGCAGACCAGTACAAATTTAAAGGCTGGTTTTCTTTCTTACCCAATAATAATGAGAACTAAGAGACAACGCCAGGGAAAGCGCAGGGGATGTTAACAGAAGTAATTGTAATGTAATTGTTGAAGACAGAAAAGTGAACGAAAGTATGTCTTTCACCGGTGGTTACACACAACCTACTCAGCTAGAACGAAATTCCATCTTAAGAGAAAGCTTATCCGTTAATACCACTGAGGCTCGAGGGCTTTGCGGGAACGAGGGAGCAACAGATGCGCAATACGAATGAGATAAAGAAAGAGAGATGATAAACGTTTATTGGCATTGAGAAGTACGGACAGATGCTTTCCTAAACAAAGGTGGGCATGGCCTTCTCGCTACAGATGACCACTCACTGTCCCCTGCTTTCCTGGATAAGCTCTCAACAACGATAACTACAAAAAGCTGCCTAGTGCACCTGGCTGGATATGAAATAATGGCCATGGGAGCGAGATTTTGTACAGGCGCGGAAAAACACTGCATGGTGTGTCAGAGTTTCGACAATGAATTTTTATTTATTTGGAGATAGAAATAATAAACCATGCACAACTCGTAATAGAGCGCGTGAAAAAAATAACCACTTCCACGCCATGCGAACAGTCGGATGGTGAAGCTGCAAGTGCGAGCGTAGACTGAGACAGCTTAGTGTGGGTTCGACCATCGTCACCGTCAACACCATTGATCATCATCATGATCATGATCATCATAATTTCGTTTCACGTATTTATCTATTCGCACCCCCTTTGGTCACGTGACCTGTTTGCCAATAAGGTGGCGTGCTTACGGAACAGGCTTTGCTTAGAACAGCTCCTCAGTAAAAGGCGTTGGGCGAGAAAAGGCAGTCGTCTTTTACAGCATGGTTATCTATGGTACTCACAAAGGATGGCCTTGGAGTTAAAGCATTTTGCATCAGAACAGGTAACTTGGCAATTAGTGATGATCACTCTGCTCTGCGCAAAACAAAACGAAGACACCAAAAACATCTCGTATAGCACCCATGCTTCGGTGTTTTACTCTGAAAGCACATAACCTTGTTCATAACATGTTCTAACAGGCAAAAAGGCTTGGACTTAGGATACAAGAGCGTGGAAGACGTCCAAGAAAAGACGAGACTGAAAGAAGGCACCACGCTCGCCAATTACCTGAAGGAAATCTTCGTCTTTACCAAGGTTGTAGTGTAAGTGTCGTTGTTAGACAATTATACTGCAGGTATATATATATATATATATATATATATATATATATATATATATATATATATATATATATATATATATATATATATATATATATATATATATATTATATATATATATATATATATATATTATATATATATATCCAGCGAGTGTCTTTTCTATTCATCCAGTGATGAATAGAAATTGGCTTGAGCGGAGAAAGGTGCGAAAACTTTTATTGCTCCTACGTTCGGCCGGGGTCCGGCCTTCGTCAGGGAATACATTGCAAACGTCAACGTGCTGCTTATATGCATTGGGGGCCCCCAACACGTGCCTATTTAATATCAAATGTCACATTAACGACAGTGGCACACAAATCAATATGCGAAACAGCACGATGTGATAATGACAAGACTATATCACGAAATGATAATATACGGTGAAGTCTGCGCAGCCAAAAAGGGCGTTTTTCACAGTCACGGAAAGGATCAACATAACAGGGGTGATTATGTACCACGAATGCATTTAACAATATTGCGTTAAAACAACTCGATGAACTAACAAGAAACATAGGTAAACAACCAGCAACCATGTGCTAAAAGAATTAACAAAAACAGGTGTAAAGCAACGAGAACAGCAATATAAAGAAAACATAGGTGAATTATGTGGCAATGGTGATTTGAAAAAAAAAAAACTTAGGTAAAGTGAGATACATGGCATTCATGAGAACGAAATATAACAGAATTGTATGTAACAGGCTGAAAACTGATGAAAGCGGCAGACATGTGATAGGGAATTTAGCCTTGTCCGTGACATAGTGATCCTGTTGCTGAACGTGCGCCAGGAACGTGAGCTTTCCTGCGCTTTCGTTAATGCCGAATGACAGTGCTTAAATTTGTAGATGAGAAATGATTCGCGTGCTTCCCGTTCGTGGTGAGACTTAAAACCAGATTCTAATATGGTTGCGAGTGAATGTCCTGTCGCATTCAGGTGCTTAGATAGGGGTAGGTTAGGAAAAGTTGTGACATGCGCCTTGTGGTTATTAACCGCAGTCTGAATGGTGTTGCTGTCTGGCCTAAGTACTGAAGCTTACAGACTGAGCACTCAAGTAGGTACACACAGTTACTTGTATCGCAATCGTAACCACCATTAATTTTCATTGTGAAATTGGACGCCGAACTGTGGGCTGAAATAGAGGTGGTCATGTGTACGCAAACCTTGCAACGTGGTTTGCCACAAGGGTGGCAACCTGAATAGGCAGGATGAGTTAGTACAGATGAAGTCAGCATATTGTGCAAGTTTCTCGACCGGCGATATAGACTACACGTGGCGATTCCGAAAATATGTTTTTGAGATGGTCGCTCTGCATAAGAATGTTGTGGTGCCTTCGTAGGATGTGGTTAACGTTTGGTGCTGATGCGGAATACGTTAATATGAGGTTTGTAGATGGTCGCTGTTGAGCAGGCTTGTTGGAGTGGAGGGCACGCTCCTGTACACTTCATTAGCACGTTTAACGGCATCGTCAATTATCTGAGGCGGGTACTTTTGTCTTCTTAGCGCATCAGTGAGCTTGTCACAATTATCCCTGAAGTCAGATTGTGCGGAGCACAACCTTTTTAAAACGGAGCGCCTGGCTGTACAGTATGCTTGTCTTGTTGTGTCTTACGTGGCTACTTTCAAAATGAAGGTAGCGGTGTCTATTAGTCGACTTTCTGTAAAGCTTTGTCGTTAGTTTGTCTCCTGATATGCATACCGTGACGTTCAGAAAGTTTATGTTTGATGCAGAGTAGGCGAGCGAGAAGGAGATTGATGGATGAAAATTGTTAAAGCTTTCCACAAAAGACAAAAGTTCAGTTTCCCCGTGCTGCCATATCAAAAAGATATCGTCAATAAAGCGCTTATAGTATAACGGTTTTATGGCGCACGTGGCAAGAAACCTGTCCTCCAATGTGCCCATCAATATATTGGCGTAATTCGGTCCTATCTTCGTGCCCATCGAGGTGCCACTCGTCTGTACATAGTGAGTTTGATTAAATTCGAAGTTATTTAGTTGCAGAATTAGTTTTAAAAGGGAGGCTAGAGTTGAGCTGTCAATAGGTTTGTCTAGCGAAGATTCGTCATATGCACGTATTACAGACTGAATGCCGTCGTCATGCGGGATATTCGTGTATAGAGAAGCTACGTCTAGAGTGACTAGTAGCGCTTTGTCGGGGACGTCAAGATCAGCAATGTCACTCAAGAAATGGTTAGTGTCTCGAAGATACGAGGGAAAGGAGGCGGGAATTACTCTGATGAGAGCGTCAATGTAGCCGGAAAGAGGTTCAGTAACCTAAACTATTAGACGACCGGGGTTACTTGGTTTGTGCACCTTCGGTAATAAATAAAACCTTCCTGCAACAGGACTAAGCGGTATTAGCGATTCCATCGTCTTTTTACTGATGCACCCTTTTGTAAAAGTTCCCCAAGGGCCTCGGCAATAATACGTTTAAAGTCCTCAGTTGGGTCGTGACTGAGCTGCCTAAAGTATGCAGTGTCGCCTAACTGTCTCAATGCTTCAGTGATATAGTCGGAGGTATTTATTACCACTACTGCACCGCCTTTGTCAGCGGGCTTGATAACAATGTCTGAACGGTTCTGCAATGTCCTAATGGCTTTCCTTTCATTTGAGGTCAAGTTGTGTTTGAAAGAATTTTTCCGGTTATATGCTTCAAGAATATCGTGTTGGACAGCTACAATGCACATATCAAGGCACTTGTCACGTTGTACCGGTGGTGTCCAATGTTTACTGGATGACACGCTGTTAGTTGAGGATCGTTCATGAAAAAATTCACGTAGTCTCATGTTCCGCGCGAAGTCGTCAAGGTCCTTTACGAGCTGAAATTCATTGTACCTGCCAGTTGCCGGACAGAAGTTGAGACCACGAGAAAGAAGAGACATTTCAGGGTTTGTAAGTTTGATGTTCGAAATATTGATAATGTTAGTAAACTGGTTTTCATTATCAATAGCCTGACCAGATATATTTGAAGCGCTGGTGGACGAGAGGGCTGGTAGCGGTGAAGGTAGAACGTTATCGCGAACCATCTTTGCAGATTTCCTTGCTTGGATTTCTAATCGCTTCCTTTGTTCGTAATCTTGAAGCAAAATACGTTCGTCAGAACTAATTGAATGGGCGCTTCGTAACTGTCGTTCTCGGTTGCTTAAGTTCTTTGCCAATGAGCTGTAGTGTTTGATTACAATGCGGGTAAGGTCCAAAGACGCTTTCCCCAGCGTGTCATTCCAACGTTCTAAATTATGGCTAGACATTTCTGATGTAGCTGGTTTGAAGGAAAGCTGAAATCCTTTTGGTACTTTTTGTGAAGCTACGTATGACGACAATGCAAACTCATGCATCTCGCATCGAACACGTTTTTCAACAACTTTCCTAATCTTTAGGAAATTACTGGAGTGTACAGTTACACTGGTGGGGGCATTTGCGAGTCAATCACGGGACGTAGTCACAGTTGTAGAGCGATTAGCACTTCTCAAAGAATATGAATGGGAACATGAAGAATCAATTTCAGACCTTTTAGTTGTGTTGCAGGGGTGCCTCTGTGGTTGAGGTGGCAAACTGGCTTCGGGAGAAGGTCTTTGTGGACTCGGTGTGCTGGCGAAAGCCTGGCTAGTGCATTGGTGTGACGGAGGTAGCAAGCGAGTCAAATCCCGCTTGGACGGCTGGGTGGTTGCGTGGTCGCACCAGGAAGACGGCGACGAATTAAAGATATGTCGAAAAGACAAGTGCTTGATGTGACTGGCCATCACTGCAACTCCTTCAAAACTAGGGTTAAGGCCGTCGGCTGCAAAGACGCGATTTGACGGGAACCATTCCAAGGCATGGTCGAGGAAATACACTTGTCTAGAGCGTCGACAAAACATACGCAAGCGGCTGTTAAAGTCACACGCCTCACGGTTGCAGTGTCGGGCCAAAGCTTCGTTATGGCCACCACGGCGGTGGTTTAGGCTCCGAGGAAGGATCAGACTGGCGTATATACGATGAATGTTGGCCCTTTCGCTGAAAACAGCACCTAGAAGGTGCTTGTACCTTGAGAAGGTCACACGTCCGCTGCTTTTCATTTTTTTTTCAATTTTTTTTTTCAAAGCACCATTGCCACATAATTCACCTATGTTTTCTTTATATTGCTGTTCTCGTTGCTTTACACCTGTTTTTAGGGGCGAAGCTCCTTAGGGCGTGGGCTGTGCGTCCCCTGTATGTAGCCACCTCTCGTTTAGTTCTTGCAGTGTTCACTAGATGGCGGTAGCGTCCCTTGTATGTAGCCACCTCTCGTTTAGTTCTTGCAGTGTTCACTAGATGGCGGTACTTGTATTTGATGATGAAAAGATGCAAGATGTTATAAACTAGACGGCGGCACTTCTAGTTGATGATGAAAGATGCGAGATGTTATAAAATAGGAATGATGTCACATATGGCAGGTGTCATTGGTGGAAGGCAATCGTTCGATTTAGTGCAGCGACGTACGCTAGGGGGGAGCATTGTAATAAAATTGAGTGGGCAAAATGTACTGAAGATTCATGGTTTACCAGGTTTTCCTCCAGAGCTTCGCCCACTCATCATCATTCACTTCGTGGATATGGCGGCACTTTTTTTGTTAATTTTTTAGCGCATTGTTGCTGGTTGTTTACCTATGTTTCTTGTTAGTTCTTCGAGTTGTTTTAACGCAATATTGTTAAATGCATTCGTGGTACATGATCACCCTTGTTATGTTGATCCTTTCCGTGACTGTGAAAAACGCCCTTTTTTGCTGCGCAGACTTCACCGTATATTATCATTTCGTGATATAGTCTTGTCATTATCACATCGTGCTGTTTCGCATATTGATTTGTGTGCCACTGTCGTTAATGTGACATTTGATATTAAATAGGCACGTGTTGGCGGCGCCCAATGTATATAAGCAGTACGTTGACGTTTGCAATGTATTCCCTGACGAAGGCCGGACCCCGGCCGAAACGTAGTAGCAACAAAAGTTTTCGCACGTTTGTCCGCTCAAGCCAATCTCTCTCTCTCTCTCTCTCTCTCTCTCTCTCTCTCTCTCTCTCTATATATATATATATATATATATATATATATATATATATATATATATATATATATTACACGTTCACTACAACATTGACTATTGGTATTGCAGTACAGCGTTGACTATAAGCAGCTAACGTTGGCTGGCGTCTCGTACTGTAAGCAACGTTGACTACACTGGCAAATATAGGCCACTGTTCGCATTTGTTAGTGTATATAATACTGATGGTTTTCGGCCATCGTTAGCTAAACTTGGTTCATGTGGACAAACATAAGCAAGATTGACGAAAAATTGGACAATGTTCACATATGTCAGCCAAATGATGGTTAATATAATGTGAATCCTCGGTTACGTTAACATTGCCGTCAATAAATACCAATGAAGTGGTGTTCTGGCATGTAGAAACAACCATCTGAGTGAGCTCTGCGTGGATTTATTAGCTTCGTGTGCTTCATCACTAGGGCGTCCATCCGTGTTGTAAAGGCCTCACCACACGTACGCATATCAGCGCGTCAACGTTTGTCTTTCTGGCGCCGCTACACGAAGCTGCGCGCCCTCTCTCTTTCCCGACTAAAATGACGTGGCGCCGAGTCAGAACGACATGTGCTGACGCGCTGCAATGCGTACGTGTGGGCAGGCGTTAAAGGGACACTAAAGGCAACTAGTAAGTCGGCGTTGATTGTTGAAATAGTGGTCCAGAAACCTCGTTGTGTTACTTTTGTGCCAAGGAATGGCTTATTTTGAAATAAAGGGACGTTTTAGTGGTTCGCATCGGGTTAGCGCACTTCAAATTACCCGCCTTAAGAAGCGGACCAACTGGACCGACTCACGTTACTGTGTTCCGTGCACATCGTTGCCCGGCTTTTCTGCGCTAGTAGCAGCAGACCGAAAGCAGCGGGAGCCACAGCAGCAACAATGGCCACTCATCAACTTCCCGCCATTGTCTTAGAGATTGCAGACGTTTTTTGGCTGAACTGCGCTCCGCTGGATGGCATCACCTATTCAATGTAACTACGTGAAAATTGAATTTTTGAACCACTCGCGCCATTCCCCATAGTAATGTCCGGTGGTTCTTTTTTCCATAAATCAAACAGAATTGAACAGGCAGAATTTTATTCGTCTCTTGGTTCAAAGAAGGTTCTTTATTTAGTGCAGCTAGATCAATTACTAGTGATTTATTGCAGGCAGTCCGTTCGATGTCGCCAGGATCATTTTGAGAAAGCCTTAACGCGGTGCATGTGTTTTAGTGCATTTACCTTGATTTCTCGTTAACTAGGGCACCGTTGTTGATAATATTGTTCTTTTATATGTTGTCATACATTGAGCTTTCACTCTGACGTAAATTTTTGTTTGACTTAAGTGTCCCTTTGAGATCTGCCCTTACACCAGAAACTCGTTTCTGCGACGCAGCGGTGACCGGGACGCCATGGAGCGAGTGGCGTACGAGGAGGCCATCGACCAGGCAGCGGAGGGCGTGCTGTACAGCGAGATGTTGCTGTGCCCTCAACCGCTGGCCTCCTCGAGCGTCGCACAACGGTGGCAAGGGATGCCGGAAAGCATGGTCAGCGTCAGGGACGTGCTGGACGCAGCGCTGCGAGGACTGCGCAAGGCGGAGCTGGCGACGGGCGCGAAGTTCAGGATCGTCCTGTCTTGCACTCGTGGCAGGCCCGGTCAGTGCCCGCGACAGATTTCACGGAAATACTAATAATAATATCTGAAGTTTAACGTCCCAAAAACACCGTATGATTATGAGAAACGCCGCAGTGGTGGGCTCCGGAAATTTAGATTACCTGGAGTTACGCAAAGTGGGCCTAAATATACGCACACGGGTCTCAAATATTTTCATATCCATCTAAAATACTGCCGCCGTGGACGGGATTCTATCCCGCGACCTTCTGGTCAGTAGTTGAGCACTATAATCACTAGACCATTGTGGTGGGGCTCACTGAAAGAGTGCGTTGCTTTGGTTACTGGATGTGCTCGCTTCACAGTAGTGGCCTAGCTAGACATTTTATCAGCTGAGCTATTCAAGCTCGGAATAACGTCGACGGTATACAAAAGCTCCGCGGTAATGTGCGACAGCAACTGGGTATGTGCGAAGAGGCTGCAAGCCACACATGGTGCACACCACGCTGTTGGTCCACGTAATACTTCTGACACTTTGGTATAGGCCGTGAGCGAGGCGGGAAAGGGAGGTAAGGTTGAGGAGGAAGGGTAGGATGAGGGGAGATGGTAAAGCATGTCATAGCCTTGTATACATTCCACTCTTAATTGGTTCCTGGTTAAACGCTGGCTATGTCCAGGAAATCAGGCGAAAAGTGTCCAGTCTCCTGACTATATCCAGTACTTTAAGGGGGTGCTTATTAAGTCTAGTGTAGAAGGTTGAGGAGTGAGGTGAGGAGAAGGGGGATGCAAGGGCGAGTAGGAGCGAAAGGAAGAGGTTGAGTGGTTACGCGATGTAGCCATGCAACATGTAACATAGCAAGTGGTGAGACGAAGAAGTGAGGGTGAGGGAAAGTGGAAAAGCATAAGGAAAAGGGACAGGAAAAATGCGAATATACAAATAAGTAAAGAAAGAACAATTCAATCTGCATTCGTCAGGCCGTTTGCTTGCCTGTTCCAGTGGCCAGCTCCACCATCCACTAAGATTTCGCTGATGCGGAACATTCTTTCGGCGCAGGGAAGAAAACGTTGCCGTTTTGTGCAAATGCTGCCTTCAAGCGGCAACGCGCAGGTGAGAAGCGCCCAGTGGCATGGCTATGAATGATTCTATATGCGTTCACTTACAAAAGCGAAAATCGTTATTATTGAGAAAAGACAAGGTGTAGTCATCTGCTACAGTCGGCCTTTATTGTGGCATTCAGTGCCATAAAAAAGAGAATAGTCCTTCGACACAAATATATGCATATCTACGACATGAACATTAATGATGTGGTGAAACAGTCTGCATCAGATCATGAATCATGGCCTTATGTTTTGTTCTGGTGAACTGCCTTTTATTTTCTTCACGGTAACCTGTCGTTTTACATGCTTTGATTGATGGTTGAACGCGGTGTTCTTACGGTGTTGTAGTACTTTATTGTGTTTGTTCTGATTAACAGCTTTTTGATTACCTTTCGGTTGTTGACAGATGTTTCGGTTTAAACATCGGCTGTAGACGCCGGGCAGGGGTTTGTGGACCGATGGACATTTTGCCGTCCTGAGGTGCTTCGCCCCTAATTAAGGTATACTGGATGGTAGAACGTGAAACTGTGCGAAGCGGGTGGCCGTGTCCGAGGAAAATAACGAAGCCATCACGCTGAAATAGGTAAGGGGTGGTGCTTAAGAGTCGTTGCCATGATACGCTGCCAGGGATAGTGACGGGAGTCGGGTCCTCCCTTCGTTAGGGGATGAGTTTTACTTGACTCCTGTTGGACGAATGATGCCGCATTCTCACCTTCAAATTTATCGTTACGACTGTTCGTACTCATCCTGTTTATCGTCTTTCAATCAATTCACAACGATGAAATTGTTCTCGGGGAATCCGCTGGTAGGACAGCTGGTACATGTACTGATATATACTGGGTATATGCAACGCTAATGAACGAAGGGAAATGGAAGACGCAGAAAGGACATAGGCTGGCGCCGACTTCCAAAGGCACTTGGAAGTCAGCGCAAGTTAATGTCTGTGCCAACCCGAGCTGTTGATCTGCCTTTATTTTTTTCTTCCTTCCTCTTGAGCTGCACATATTAGGCATATGTGGAAAAGTGTTCTGTCTCTAGTCGGCCTTGGTAAATCACTGGATAGGGTGCTCGGCTGCTAACCCGAAGGTCATGGGTTCGATTGTGGCCGCGGCGGTCGCATTTCGATGGAGGCGAAAGGGCAGAGGCCCGTCCACTGTGCGATAGCCATGCACGGTAAAGAACACCAGACGATCGAAATTTTCGCAGCCCTTCACTATGGAGTCTCTCATAATCACATGGTTGTTTTGGGACGTTAAACACCACATATAATAATAATAAATTATTATTACATTATGTCTCGCCGCAGACTGGGCACCAGAGACTCTGGAGCTCTGCCGTGAGTACCGCGACCGAGGCGTGGTCGGCATCGACGTCTGCGGCGTGGTCGGTCCCGAAGAGGCACAGTCAATGCAAGTAGGCCTGGACGCTAGGGAGTGCGGTGAAGAGTTCACAGATCCCCGGATCATCGACACTTTCCAGGTGCGTTCACTGTCCAACACATGGTTACCAAGAGGCAGAAGAAATTCGGTATCGCGGAAAAAAAAATTCTGGTTGCAGAGACGGTGATATATTTCTCGCATGCAGTTTCGAACCGTGCACACACAGAAAAAAGACTTGCTTGCATTCTTTCTTGTCCCTTGATTTTTGGCTCCTACTTACTACGTGGTATTGTCCATAAAATAAGTGGTTAATATAATTGAGTAGAATAAACTTTATTGGACCGATTGTTGGTCCCGGCGCTAGGCTGCCATGGGGAGCCACTGATCGAGGAACATCTCATAGAAGAATGAGGAATAAATTTGTCGCCTCATATAAAAACGAACTTTGAAGAGGGACTAGTTTTCAAGATCGAGCTGCTTCGAAGAATAAGCAAAACTCGTCGTTTTATTTGTGATGGTAACTAATGACAAGCATGGACATATATTCAGCGACGCCAGGGCAGCCATCCGCGCCTTAATTGTTGTAAAGAAGCCCATTACATACTGAAAGGCCAAAAGCGTCACCACCCGCACTCTCACGTGGTTCCCCGCTCACATGAGATCCGTCAGGGGAGGCCCCACAAATCTTAACGAGCTGGCCCACTCCAAGGCGTGATGTCTCGCTTTCCGCGACCACGGAGAACTCCCCCACCGGCCCGAAGTTGTGGAGAACAGATATCAACCGACTACTTATAATGATATTACCCAGGACTTTTATCTCGGCAGGACAGACTTTCCCCTTCCGAACAATAAGTTAAATCAAGTGCAGGCTTTGACTCTCGGGCAACTTCAAGACGGGTCCGTATCCCAGCCCGGCTTTATTGCATAAAATTTATCCCGACATTTGTCCTAATAGCTCTTGCAGACACTGCAACGAATGAGCTAGCCTAAAACACATGCTCTGGCGTTGCCCCTCGTTGTGGGGCACGGATCATTACAATGAAGAAAAGTGGCTATCTGCTCTCAAGAGCCCCGATGTCGGGGATCAATTGTGGGCTGTCCAGAAGGCCCACGATGCGCCGGTCGGGCTTGGCCTGACTGACCCAACGTGGGAGCGGCCCGCTGTGCTTTCAGTCATGCACCTCAGGACTTCCAATAAAGCTTCGCATCCATCAATGGTTCAGGCACATGTATGTCTGATGAAGTCGGACTTCCAAAGGAAGTTGTACATAAAAAAGAAAGCAGTCACGTAGTCCGTTGACACGTATAGAAACCCACGTGGTTCTCGGAAGTCTATGCCAGCGCCGTAGCTTGTATCAGTCTAGCTTTAGATGCGAAGCAGCTTATGAATGACGCTTGCACTCTGTCGTGCTGTATCTGCCACTGACGATAACGATGATTACGAAAAAACAAGCGCGTTCTTGACGACACATTTTTTTGCCATCACAGCACATGCAAGGTATCGTGAAGACAAAAGTTACAGACAGACAGACAGACAGACAGACAGACAGACAGACAGACAGACAGACAGACAGACAGACAGATGGACGGACGGGATTATGGATGGACGGGCAGGTTGGCGGACAGACAGACGGATGGACGGACGGACGGGAAGGTTGGCGGACAGACAGATAAACGGACGTACGTACGGACGGGTGGGCAGGTTGGTGAACAGGCCCACAGACGGACGGACGTACGGACGGGTGGGCAGGTTGGTGGACAGGCACACTGTTATGCCAGCGAGTCCTCGTCAAACGTCCGTGCCTCTGAAAAAGGCAATCTGGGTCAAGGCCAGCCCGCAGTCCGCCTGACGCGAACATCTCAACGGCGTGAACACGCGCGGCGCTTCTCTGGCCCACGTGCATTGAGTCAGCTGCGCACGTGACAGCGAGCCGGCGTCCTCGTGTCTGGTGGTTTGACGCATGGCGCGGCGACCCCATTGGAGGAATCTGTCCTGACGACCAGCGGCGCTTCTGATTGGACATTTTGGTTGGACCCGGTGTAAATAAAAGAAGCCCTGCGGCGTGTCGCGATCGGCAGTCCTACGAGAGAGGAGTCCCCATGTCGGAGAGCCGACATGTGTGTGAGTCGGCGGTCTTAGGCGAAAAGTTGACCTATGTATTAGAGAGGAGAGCTCGGCTCTTCGAGTCTCTGTCGGCCCCAGTGCCGAAATTGTAACGCCTCTGTATATATGCTGTACATAAATCTTGTTCAACTCACCGTCGTCTCGTCCGCTCGTCTTATCAGCTCTGCGCAGAAGCAGTCGCGAGCTGAGAAACATACGCTACCAAACGGCTGGTGACCTTCCCGGCGGAGTTGAAAGCAGTGGCGCCTTCGGGGCCGTGTTGGCGTCGCCGTCTTTCGCAACAGTGGTGGCTTCGGCGGGATCGGTCCGTCGTGCGCAACAGTGGTTGGCAGCTGCGGGATCGGCCGGCGTCAGCGACATCGATGCGGTGAGTGCCTGATGTTTTCCCCTCAGTTCACCAGACTACTCTAGCTCAGGTTGTAGTAGTTTAGAGAAGGGCTGTGTGAAGCATTAGAGTGAGCTTTGATCGTTTCAAGCAAAGTCGAAGTGCTTTGAAACCAAAGTTAATGCGGAGGGGGTAAACACGGGAGAGTGAAAAGTTGCTTGCGCGTCTTGCTAGTTGACTTATAGTGGGTACGGCAAGTAAATTGTTAACAGGGGCAAACAGCAAGAGGCTAGTGTGAACGATGGAGAACCTTAAAGTGAAGGAACTCATCGAAATTTGTGAGGAACTCGGCATTACTTTGGGCCGTGCGAAACGAAAGCAAGCGATCCTTGAGATCATGAAGGATGAGGGAGTGTCGGCTGAGGAAGTCGATGAGGCCTGGGTGGATATTAAAGCACGCCGTGAGGAGGCTGAAAGGCGAGAAGTAGAACCTCGCGAACGGGAAGAAGTTGAAAGGCGCGAACGTCGCGAGCTCGAGGAGGCCGAGAGACAAGAGCGCCTAGAGTTGAAACGACTAGAATTGGCAATCCTACAGTGTTCGCAGGCGCCTAGCGTAGCTTCTCCGACGATTCAGGTCAGCGGTTTTAGAATTCGGGACCAACTGCCACCGTTCGTAGTAGGCGAGGACATGGCGAAGTATCTCGTCAAGTTTGAACACGTCTGTGAGCGAAACGCTTTGGAGCGGCCTCTTTGGGCACGGAACCTGCTAGCTCTTCTTCCCGGCGAAGTGTCCGACGCGATAACTTGCTTGTCGAGGGAAGCGTTTGAGAGCTATGACGAGGTTAAGGAAGTGCTCTTGAGACGTTATAAGTTGTCACCCGAGGCTTTCAGGCAAAGGTTCCGGTATGCTAAAAAGGGGAATGAGTCACACGTTGACTTCGCGTTTCGTCTTAAGGCCGATTTAATTGAATGGCTCAAGGGCGAAGGTGTTTATGACGACCGCGATAAAGTGGTGGAATGCGTTGCATTGGAGCAATTCTACCGCTGAATCGAGGAGGATGTCAAACTTTGGCTGCAGGACAGACTTGGGGACGTACAGTTAAACAAGGCAGCTGAGTTAGCTGAGGAGTATTATACTCGCCGAAAGTTGCATAGCAGGGCAGCGCGCGTTGAAAAGGATGAAAGGAAAGAGGACTTTTCAAGGAAACCTGATCAACGGAAACCCGCTCCGCACCGTAATTTCAAGAAGGACCCGTCTCTTACGAAGGACAGTGTAGGGGAAGGGCAAACAGAAGCGGAGAAATCGAGTGAGGTTTCTACCACACAGGCATTAGAACCGGAAAACAAACGGAAGCCGCTAATCTGCTACAACTGTAAAAAGGAAGGGCACATCGCGAGAAACTGTCAGGAAAAGTTTGCTTTCGCAACGATCCGAGAAACAGAAAAAAACATTCGGTTGTTGGAGCCGTATCTCCAAGAAATTAGGGTGAATGAGAAAACGTGCCGAGCACTTAGAGACTCAGCGGCAACCATGGACGTTGTCCATCCTTCATTGGTGTCTCCGGATGACTTCACAGGAGAATGCGCGTGGATCAGGCAGGTCGCCGAGGAGCAGAGTGTTCGCTTACCAATCGCCACGGTTGTCATTAAAGGCCCGTTCGGTGAGCTTCGCACCGAAGCGGCTGTGTCTGCCGCGCTGAACGATCGTTTTCCTTATCTTTTCTCCAACAACTCGGAGCAGCTCCTCAAAGAGCAGGGCAAATCGTTCTTCCCCAACTTTGCGTGCATGGCCCTCACGCGATCGCAAGCGCGAAAGCTTTCGCGGAAGCTGGACCTGGTTCCATGCGGTGAACTCTCAAGTGACCTTGTCGGCGGGTCGACGGAACCCCAGAAAGGAAAGTTTCCGCATGAGTCATGTGAGCAGTCACGCGAGCGGCCCGTCGCCGACACGACCGGCGCGGTTTCCGGAGAAAGGGGAGACGACATGGCGCCATTGGATCAGAGAGAGAGGGCTGCAACGCTCTCACCTGTAGCGGAAAGTTGGAGCGAGCTGCCGAGAGTTGATCGAGAGACGCTCATTCGAGAGCAGAGTGAGGATCTCTCGATTGAAGCGCTAGTGGAAAGCCAAATTGAAGCGCTAGTGGAAAGCAAGAAAAACGCGGCAAAAGTGCTGTCGAAGGAGCACTACGAGAAATCGGGGAAGAAGCGCGCTTTTGAAGTTGATAATCAGGTAATGCGGCTGCAGCCATCCAAAAGGAACAAGCTTGAGGTTGATTGGGAAGGGCCCGCCAAAGTATTATCGAAGCCTTGCGATACAAATTATGAGGTGCAAGTAGGAAGGCGGCAGAACAAAATTTACAACTTGATGAAACCCAATGTCCAACATCAAGCGGTCGTAAATCAGCTGTTGAAGGCTTCAGAGGAAGATGAAGCAGAAAATTTGAGTTCTAGTGAGGTGATCGAAGGGGGATCGAAAGTAATCCGGGAGCAGATAAACCTAGAGCCTAGCTTAAGTGAAGGAGGACCTGAGAAAGAGGACCTGAGAAAGATTGTTTCCGAGTTTGGGTATGGGTTGTCGGACCGTCCCGGAGACACGACGGTGATCGAACACGATATCGAGCTAAGCGGTGAGGTGTCAATCAGTAGCAAGCCGTATCATTGTTCCCCTGTGCAACGTCGAAAGTGTGAGCCGCTCTTGGTGCCGCATAGGTATCGTCGCCTAAAAGTGGCCGGTTACTGAAGTGGAGCATGTTGCTCCACAGCGCAACTTTGACGTTCGCTATAAAAAAAAAGAAAAAGGGAAAGCTAAACGCTAATGCAGGTGCATTGAGCAGTGCGTTCTAGCTAGTACCTTCTCAACCTTTCGGTTTCTCGCTGGCGATTCGGGGCAAAATTTTGACCTCATCACGACCTGGGCTGAGCGCTCTCGTTCAGAGTGATCTCAAGGGGCCAACTTTGTGGTATTCTAATTCGTTACGTTGTTGTACGTGGGAAAAAAATTGAGTTGTCATTTTAAGAGTCTTGTGTCCCACATGTGCCTCTTGATGTAGAGGGAACAAAATTCCGATAAACACGTAGATAGGTATATGTTGTCTTATACTTTGTCTGGTGTTCTGTCGGGTGACCGAAGGCACTTGCGTGTGTCGTGTGTTGTCTGTTGTCGATCCGTTCTTGGCAAGTTGCAGAACCATCGACAAGTGCTGAAACCGAAGATGGTCAGAAGAGACGAGTGAAGCTGGTCAGCAAGTTGTGGCGACAAGCCAGTGGAGCTGGGATCCGTCGTCAAAAATGGGAGGTGTTCCCGGAACAGTCTGGAGCTGTATTCTCCCCATGGCCCTGGAGGCGAACCTGGAGGGACCTGGCGAACGAGCGCACCTGACATCCGAGCCCCGTGGAAGCAGCTCGTCTTTCCGGTGCATTGTCTGGCGGCGGGGGTGCTGTTATGCCAGCGAGTCCTCGTCAAACGTCCGTGCCTCTGAAAAAGGCAATCTGGGTCAAGGCCAGCCCGCAGTCCGCCTGACGCGAACATCTCAACGGCGTGAACACGCGCGGCGCTTCTCTGGCCCACGTGCATTGAGTCAGCTGCGCACGTGACAGCGAGCCGGCGTCCTCGTGTCTGGTGGTTTGACGCATGGCGCGGCGACCCCATTGGAGGAATCTGTCCTGACGACCAGCGGCGCTTCTGATTGGACATTTTGGTTGGACCCGGTGTAAATAAAAGAAGCCCTGCGGCGTGTCGCGATCGGCAGTCCTACGAGAGAGGAGTCCCCATGTCGGAGAGCCGACATGTGTGTGAGTCGGCGGTCTTAGGCGAAAAGTTGACCTATGTATTAGAGAGGAGAGCTCGGCTCTTCGAGTCTCTGTCGGCCCCAGTGCCGAAATTGTAACGCCTCTGTATATATGCTGTACATAAATCTTGTTTAACTCACCGTCATCTCGTCCGCTCGTCTTATCAGCTCTGCGCAGAAGCAGTCGCGAGCTGAGAAACATACGCTACCAAACGGCTGGTGACCTTCCCGGCGGAGTTGAAAGCAGTGGCGCCTTCGGGGCCGTGTTGGCGTCGCCGTCTTTCGCAACAGTGGTGGCTTCGGCGGGATCGGTCCGTCGTGCGCAACAACACAGACGGACGGACGGACGGACGTACGGACGGGTGGGCAGGTTGGTGGACAGGCACACAGACAGACGGACGGGCGCACGAACGGGCAGGTTGGCGGACAGACACAGACAGACGGACGGACGGACGTATGGGCGGGCAGGTTGGTGGACAGACACAGATAGACGGACGGACGTATGGATGGATGGGCAGGTTGGCGGACAGACAGATGGGTGGACGGATGGACGGACGGACGGGCAGGTAGGCGGACAGGCGGGCAGTCAAACTCTTCGCCCCACTCATCATCATTCACACCACGATGGATGCTAACGCCAGTGGAGTTTCGCTTCTGCAGTCTCATCACAAGAGACTAAAACGCCGCCTCTGAAACACATCTCCACGTCAGCACAGCAGTGTAACCGCGAGCGTGCAAAAGTCGTGTATAGCTTGTCATTATATGTTCGCGTTATCGTTTTGTTAAAATATTTGAGCTGCGGACTGTGTATCAGTAACTTCGAACATTAAATTGTTGGTCAATGCGGTTCACTGGACGTAAAAAAAAATTAACTGTCGTTGTGGTCAGTGACATTGCGATGGTTGCGCCATGAAGCTTGATGCTGATGAGGGATTCGAAGTGGCTCCGAGCAAACCTACGTATGCAGAGGTTGTGTTTATACTCTTGTACAGCGTGTGATACAATCGGTATCTCTTATCCAGATTTTCATTGGGTCACGGAACGGCTTTCAGCTCTCGCATAGTAGAGTACCCAGTACTCTAAATCATTACTACTTTTTTCTAAGCATACTCTTGAACGTTCGCCCCTTGTACAGAACACGTCATCGACTACTTTTATCTAAATAAGTGTGCTCAGATTTGGGTGCACGTTAAAGAACCCCAGGTGGTCTAAATTTCCGGAGCCCTCCAATACGGCGTCTCTCATAATCATATAGTGGTTTTGGGACGTTAAACCCCACATATCTATCAATCAATTACTTTTATCTAAATATAATTCGCGAAAATTCAGGGGTAGCTGACTGCACTGAAAGTCACTTTGCGCCCTCAGAGCGATTCTTATACAATGACTCCCTATAATGTCGATTTGTCTGGCTGGCTCATAGAAACTCTCTTGACTCGACGCAGCGTGCTGTTTCTTACGGCGTACACCGGACCGTTCACGCGGCTGAGGCGGGGCCTCCGGCCACTCTGCTGCGGGCCGTTCGGGAACTTCACGCAGAACGCATCGGTCACGGTTACCGGGCGGTCGCTGAAGGAGGCGACGCCTATCGGCAAGCGTTGGCCGCCGGGGTCCACTTCGAGTGCTGCCCTACCAGCAGCTACCTTACTGGCAGCGTGGATCGCAACGCAGCAGAACACCCCATAGTGAGGTATAATACCTTGTAACACACCCACTCGTGCCTGTCCCAGAAGCACCCGCGCCTAAATGTTCATACATGCATTTGAAAAAAAAAACACATTAATTGGGAAAGGCAGGCCAGTTGCTTTGGCCGCATCCAGAAACGTTTTGCGCACACAACATCAAAACGTAAACTACTGGTTCAAAAGAACAGACAATCAACTCAGCTGTATTCAATAAGAAAACACAATATACCCTAATTACACGACCTCATGCGCAGTGATCATGAGGTGCGGTAACGACTATCTATTGTTTTATTATAAAAAAAAGGTCAGCTTATAGTCTGTGCTGGCACGTGTGAATCTGTAGTTTGCGTTTTCGTGTTATGTGTGCAAAAAGTTTCAGTACGAAATAAACGCTTGATTTCCAGAGGGGATCTAGACGTTGGTTGCATGTTCTGCACCCCTTTTGGGGACCGAATACGTACCGAGGGCAAGTCGGTTTCGTAGTTATAAGCCGCAACATTTGTTCTGTTGTACAGTGCCAATTTTTATGAAAGGGAACACGGGAGCGCGTGGCCTGCGCGCTTCGGTGGCTGCTGGCAGCGCGTTCATGTGGGAGCGATAGCAACCACCGTCTCTTTTCGCGTCATCTCGCGGTGAGCAAACAACCATTCGTTGCTGATCTGGAACCAGCGGCAAGATTGCGACCCCGTTCTCCTTCAAGGTGATTTGACCAGAGCCGGTAATCGCTTTGAAGGTGGGGTTGCAGTTTTGCCGTTATGAATCAGCAACGAATGGTTGTTTTTCTCGCCACGAGATGACGCGAAAAGAGAGTGTGGTTGCTATCGCTACCGCTTGAACGCGCTGCCAGCAGCCGCTGGAGCATGCAGGCCACTCGTCGCCGTGTTCCCTTTCAGAAAAATTGACACTGTACATTGTTAAGGCGAAAGCAACAGATGCTTTATCAAACACGACAAATGACCGTCGTTAGCGTTGGCGTTAACACGAGGGGTGAAAAAAACATCATCGTGTACTGATGTCACCGCATCACGTTATCATTACGACACATTTAAATTTATAACATCACCCCACCGTCATAGTGAAGCCACGTTATGGCATCGTCACATGACATCATCGCTCGGAAAATAGGGGAGCCGCTCTGGGAGGCACGTGAGCTAGGGGGCAAGAAGCTTGCAATGCCTCTTGGTCTCGGAGTCAATGTCATGCTATGTGCCAGAAGAGAGGGAGAGGTGTTTTCACAGAAAACTTTCGGTGGCAGAGGGATAAACATAGTCGACTGAGCAGGAGACAAAAAAATATGGCTTTCACTTCCAAGTCATCTGGCTGGGGAAATAACAAATCGTGCTTGACGGGCCTTCGTTATGTTTGCGCGATGCTGCGGAGCCACGCGCTAGTCGCACAGCCGCAACGCACGTGCCGGCACACCTGGCGCCCCCAAGCGGAGGGTGAAAGAGCGTCGCCTTATTTGTCCCCCGCTGGCGTGCGGCAGGGGTCCCGGCACGTGCGTTGCGGCTGTGCGGGTAGCGCGTGGAACGTCCCTAAGGGCCATTCCACACGCTTCCCGCACAGCCGCAACGCACATGCCGGGACCTTTACCGCACGCAAGCGGGGGACAAGTAAGCCAATTGGCTACGCTGTAGAGGTGAAAGAGCGTCGCCAATTGGATTATTTGTCCCCCGCTTGCGTGCGGTAGTGGTCCCGGAACGTGCGTTGCAGCTGTGCGGGAAGCGCGTGGAACGAACGGCCCTAAGGGCCTGACTGGACCTACCCACAGCAGCCCGCCAGCTCGTTATCTTTTGACGTGGCGCCGCACCCTCTCTCTTTGATGAGAGGGAGAGCACGGCTACGCGAAGTTGCGCGCCCTCTCTCTCCATGCGGGGAGGCTGCGGCGCCGCGCCAGAAAGCAACGCGCCGACCACTGCGGCGGATACGTGTGGTCAGGCTTCAATGGCTCTTCCGGCAGGCACAACGCTGGCGATTGTTACGCAACCTTTTCTGCAGATATAATGCAAACACTGAAGACCCTTCGTAGTTGGCTTGCCCTCAAGAGGGCTTACCCTAAGAAGCAAGCACTGAATGAGCCGAGCTATTCAGGTCGCCGCAACCGGAAAGTCACATGGTCACAGTACAGTCACAAAATTTGGGTGATCTGTGACGTCACGGTGGCGTCACCAGGTAACATCAATGCATGATGATTCGTTGCATAATTAGTGTTCTCCAGGCCAACGGTTGCTTTTCGAATTTGCCGAGGTACTTATAAGGATTCCCGCATCGTTTGTGCGCAGAAAAAGCAAAGAGACATTGAAGGCGGGTGTCGGATCAAGCATACACGACGACTGCGCATGAATTATGCGCGCAATTATCGAGTTGTAGGGTTGAAGAGTGCGTGAGCTTGCCGTGATTTCTTCTTTATCACGTGCAGGCTAAAGCGCGACGGCGCAAGCTTCTCGCTGAACACCGACAACCCGGCGATCACGCACACAACACTGGACGACGAGTACCAGCTGGCGCTGAAGCTCGGACTCACGCCCCAGGACATTCTGCGATGCGTGAGTGGGCCTTGTGTATGGGCCTTTCGACCGTTGTAACCGAAAGCTTTCACTCTTTCAACAGAATATAAAGGTGGACCAGTGGGTAGTTTATAATCCTTCAGCGAAGTAGGCCTATGAACTAGGAGCGGGGTAACACAAGCAACAGGCACACAGCACGAGTGCTCGTGCTGGGTGCCTCTTCTTGGCCTCTTGTTTGGGTTCCCCGCGCTCCCTGTTCGCTGAACGATTATTCACTTTTTAAGCATGCTGATCTGTTTCTGAATCTGTTTGCTAAATGCGGCAAATGACTTTTGCTCGGTTAGGAACACAAAGAGGGCGAAGCTGCTTGAAAGGAAAGCATTGCCAATGTTGAGATTTCGATTGAATGGAACGAACATTTAGTGAACAAAATATGGTCAAACAAAGACATGTCACAGGCATCTAGAACCTTAGCAGAATGCCAGCACGGATCGATGCATTTTTAACGTACATGAACGCGCATGATTCTATTGGCAGAAGAGATAGTAATACGATCATTTAACGACATGTTAAATCTTCATCTTCTTCGGTGCTTCATATTCAAGCAGAGCGCACGCACTAAAGGGTCATTTGTAGCTTCATGCTACAAACGAGTGAATGACTGTTCGTTGCTCTCATCGATCGAGGTAATTCATGTCACATTACGAAGTAAAAAATTTCATACAAAATTCCCGGTACCTATACATGGTGGTCTCAAAGTTTTTTTTTTTTCGAACATTTGCAGTAACTTAAAATTCTCTTATAGGTTCACGTAGTGAGCGAAAAAAAAAACGATATCGCACTCGACCTCCATCGGAATGCTCTCACGTTGCTGGTCGCAGGATTCTAACTCCACACCCTCGTTCCAGACACGTCACGCGCTGTCACCTCTGTGCTGTTTAGGCCAGGGCCCCTCTTGCTCGAATTCACCTCACTGCCAAGTGTGTGCTTCTATTCTGACTCTATCGTACACATACTATCACGGCCCTAGTGGCAATACACCCCAACGCCAATCACTCCGCTCTAACATACTTACATAGAAGGCCTGGGTTGCGAATCTGGGCGAAACAACCTCCTCGGGGGCAAATCTTTTTAACCACATGCTAAACATCATTGGGGAGAGTCAGAGCTCAGACCCGAACATTGGTTTTGAAAATAGTTTTTTTTTCCTCTTGCTCGACGAACAAGCAGTTATAACGCTTTTTACTCCATTTCGTAGTATTTTCAGCAATGTTAAGTTAAACGAACAGTGGCGGTGCCAGAAGAAAACGTCATCCCCCCTCCCCCAAAAGGCGTGCATAGGATTTTGTCCTCCTTAAGGAGGGCGAATATTCGAGCGCCCTCGCTCCCTATTATGTCAATGCATGGGGCTGACTTGGCACCCCCCTCCATAGAATGCCTATGTCTGGGGCTGACTTTGCGCTCCCCCCCCCCTCATAGTTACCTAAGAGGTAACTAAGGCGTGCGTCTATGCCCTTTCCACCTCCCGCTGCCTCCTGTCACTTCGTCACACCTCCTTCCCCAACCTCCTTAAAAAAAATTCTGCCACTGCCCCCGAACGCGTCTGTCTGTCTCGCGAACTAACCCCGATTGGGGTTAGTTCTTCCGAGAGCGCAACTGTTACAGAGTTGTACAGGATTTACCGATGGCCGATATACCACGTACTCCGCAGTAATTTTCTTTTTCTTGATTGCATTTTGTTTCGTTTCGTGCCTCACAGATCTGATGACGCTCCATGTGTGTTTGCATTCTGCTTGTCTACTAACAGAATCGCTCGGCCATATCCGCCAGTTTTCTACCCGACGTCGAGAAATGGGAACTGGAGCAAAAGTTCAACCGACTCATCTGTTCGGAATCGGCGAATGCTTAGGATGACATTTTTCGCTTGCTCTGTGCAATTAAAAGAGTCATAAATTCACACGGAGTCAACGTCCCCATAAGAAGCTATAGGAAAGCGGTAATTCATAATTGCTGTGTTTTACGTGACAAAACCACGATATGACGGCGAGGTAAGCCTTAGTGGAGGGCTTCGTCAATTATGATTGCTTGTGGTTCCTTAACGTGCATTCACATCGTACTGGACATGTGCCTCTAGCGGTTAAGAAGTTTACAGCCAACATTGAAGTCTGCAAATATTACTTTCATGTTACAGAGGTCACGTCCAGAGAAAGCTTCGGTTTGAAACGCAATGAATAATACGCTGGGAGATTATTGTGCATGAGGGGCTTTACATTAATAAAGCCTGTTAATCTCGTGCAAAAGCCAGTAAACATGGTTTCTTTGTAATTATTTTGGTTCATAAGATTGCGCTATCAAGGGCTGGATGGATGAAAAAAAAACTTTATTTATAATCTGGCGATGTTGATTAAACCGGGCTTGGGAGCCGATCATCCTTCTCTGCCAGACGCTGTGCTGTGCTACTTTCGGTGACGGACCGCTACTATTCAGGAGACGCTTAGGCGGAACAATTTCCGGCCTATTTAGGCCAAGCTAACCCCGGCTGTCGCAACAGCACTACCATCGTTACTTCAATCATCTAGAAATATTCCTGCTAGCAATGCGTGTGTTAAGGCCGAGCCTGCCTAACGTGCCTTTCCATCATAAAGGTGTAATTATCACGAACGCGATTCGCCTTCGAGACACCAATTACGTGAATTTTTTAAGTGGACATAAAGTTTAACAGCGTAACTGCTACAACCAGCCACAATTTGTGCAGCCTATCGGGTATGAGGCACTGCGCGGTCTGTCTTAAAAAAAACTACCCTCTGGACCAAAATAGAAGTTTTCGTCGTCATCATAAAGGGGGGTGTGCCACAGAAATTTCGCTAGTCCTATGACTCATCTCTACAAACGGGTAAGTGCTACGGTGAGGTCTGTAAGACCATGAACGGGTATGTGGTTTGTGCCACAGAGATGAGGTAAATCGCGCTACTTTTACAAGCAGCCTTCTTCCTGTCCGTCCGTCCGTCCGTCCGTCCGTCCGTCCGTCCGTCTGTCTGTCTGTCTGTCTGTCTGTCTGTCTGTCTGTCTGTCTGTCTGTCTGTCTGTCTGTCTGTCTGTCTGTCTGTCTGTCTGTCTGTCTGTCTGTCTAATCTCTAGCCGCCTACGACTTTTAGCTCTCCTGACCGTTTCCATTATGGTATCGATACCAAACTTGGTATGGCATACCATGACTGTATTACGAACACATTTGACTAGTCATTACATGAAAATTGTGACATGTCTGTCATGAATGTCAGGATTTACATTTCATAGTCCTGCAGCTCTTGCGGTGGTTTCGTTCACATGGCATGTAGCAAAACTAGTATGATATGGCACGATTGCATAGAGAACACAAGTGACAGACCCTAACAAGAAAATCGAGACATGCGCGGCATGTAACAACATGACTGCATGCCACGCTCATGATGCGCTCGCGGCCGTTACACTAGCGTCACATATACCGAATTCGGTATTACAGTATATACGTGAAATCCATGGATGACGAAAGTATGCGACTGGTGCAAACATGGTAATCATGAGATGCGTGTTATGTAACAACATGACTACATGGCACGCTCATGATGCACTGGCGGCCGTTTGACTAGCTTCACATATGCCAAATTTGGTATTACGTGACGTGACGCCAATGGATGACGAAGATGTGTGACTGGTGTAAACATGATAATCATGAGATGCGTTTCATGTGAGAACATGACTACATGCCACAGTCAAGGCACCAATACATATCGACGTGACGCGGTGCGCGTGCTCGCCACCGTTCATTATGTCGCCTCACGCCGGCATTGCCACCGGTCCTGCCGTATACTCGATGGCACGCGCCGCGCATGCGTTGCTTTGACGCATGCGCGTTTCAGCGCGTTCGGCGTCCCTCCGTCACGAAAAGAGAGAGACGCAGCGTTGTCTGGGTAACGCATCGGCGCGAAATGTAGGTCCAAATTGGAATTCGTGCACATACGCCCATCACCAAAGTGCACCACAAAAATCGACCTCTCCCTTCACAGTGGACCCATACCCGAACGCGATGAGATTAGAGTACTAGGGCTTTTTTATATACAAAAATTGCAGAGCAGACACAACATTGGCCAAATTGCGTGAGGTGGGGGACCAGGTGGGCCGGATGGTCCGCCGGGTTTCCAACAAGCGCGGGGGGTTACGATGCAAAGATGCCTTGCGGCTGGCGCATGCATTCGTAACCAGCCGAGTCCTGTACTCGGCTCCATACCTCCACCTACGCAAATCCGACGAGAATACACTCGAAGTCATTCTCCGCAAAATCTACAAGCGCGCCCTTGACCTTCCTGTCAGCACCTCTAACCAGCGCCTTTTGGGCTTGGGAATGGTGAACACCTTCAAGGAGCTGAGAGAGGCGCACTTGACAAACCAATATACTAGACTCTCCAAAACACCGTCGGGTTGCCGCCTCCTTGCCCGGCTACATATCAATCATTCAATACACACGGAAGAGCGCGTACGGATTCCAGAAGTTTGGCGGTACTCCTTGCACGTGCGCCCTCTTCCGGCTAACATGACCCGAGACGACTACACTGGCCGACGCCTCGCGCGGGCGGAAGCCTTGGCTCGACACTAAGGCCACAAATTCGGAGTATTCTACGTGGACGCCTCCGGCCCTCACCACGGTGGTTGGTACACGGCTGCGATCGTCCACCAAAACACCGTTGTGAACGGGCTCACATTCCGTGCACATAACATTACGCACGTGGAGGAGATCGCCATCGCACTAGCCGCCGCAGATCAGGACTCGAGGGTCATCATCACCGACTCAAGGAGTGCCTGTCGCAATATTGAACCGTAATACTTTCCGTACCTTGCTTATAAAATTTTGCAGAACAGCAGCTACCTAGGTGCCCCCGCGCACCGAACGATCATATGGGCTCCGGCTCACACGGGAGTTACGTTCCGTTTGGTTCTTTCCACTCGCCTCTCGCTTGTTGCGCGACATTTGCTGCTGCCGCCAAGGAAGCCGAAGACGAGAACTTTTCATCTGCTGGCACCTTGAGGAAACGACCGCTCCGACATCATCTGGATATAGAGACGCTTATTCGTTTTTTTCCTTCACTGTCCCTGCACCCCTGGTTTTATCCCCTGTCTCCCCATTGAACCACTTTTACAGTCCAATCGTAACGCACCACTCTTACAGTCCAATCGGAACGCACAGATGTGTCTCTCCTCGCCACAACCTCGAAGATTCACCGCCTCTTGCCCACTCATCGGTTCTCCGCCGTCGCTCGGGTTTCTTTCACACCGGTTCCCGGAATGGTCGACGACGGGTGTTGCCAGGTCGTGGAAAAGCACCTCCGAGAAAGTTCCCGCGATGCCGGGTTGACAGGCCATCAATACAATTGGCCCCTGCGCCAATGCCGTCGCCTCCGCTGATTCTCATTGTCCGGCGGACGCGTACGTGTACCTTCCACGTGTACCTTCCACGTGTACCGGCCACGTGTACCGGCCACGTGTACCGGCCACCTGCAGCCTGGCTTGGTCTTCTGTAAGGCGCCATAATAGAGCCCGACAGTGGCACGGGAGTTGTCGCGTCTTTTGTGGCCAGCAGACAGTCATCGTCCCGCATTCCGGTGGCCCTGCTTCCTTGTTGGCGAGGGGTCGCCGGCCGCTGGGTGGGTAACATAAGGTATTCGGGGAACGCACGAAGTTCGAGTCCAACACCTCCCCTCCAACTGTGTTGCACTGTATCTATGACATGCGACACAAACACAACCACATATGCACACATGTTCACTGGCTCGACACGTGAGGCACCAACTGTCAATCGTACCTCGTTGACTTCGTCGCGCGCACGCGCTAACAAAGCATACACCCCCCTTCACTCGCCGTCCCTTTTCTGCGTCATCGTTAGGAGTCACTAACCGCGACATTGCGTCGGCATTAGCGTTTAGACACCCCTTTTTGTGTTCAATTTCCAGGTTATACTTCTGTAGTGCCAACGCCCAGCGTGTCAGCCTAGCGCTCTGCGGAGTGGTTAGAGTCAGAAATTTGAGTGGGTTGTGATCGGTAAACACCTTGATTTTAGCGCCAAACAGCCAAACATCCAACTTCCCCAGTGCCCAAATGATTGCATAAGCTTCCTTATCTATTGTGGCCCTTCGGGTCTGAGCCGGGCTAAGCTTCTTGCTCAGAAAAGCGATAGGACACTCCTTGCCCACCAGATCCTGCTGTGCCAGGCACGCACCAACGGCGTAATCGGACGCATCTGTGGCGAGGATAAATTCTTTTTCCGGGTCTGGTGCCAGCAACGCCGACGCCTGCACTAGACAGTTTTTCACCTTGTCAAAAGCTTCCTGCGCCTCTGTATTCCAAGTTAATTTCTGCGGAATACGTCGGCCAGTTAGGTTAGTCAGAGGCATAACGACTTTGGAGTACTCGGGCACGTAGCCCCTATAATAGTTGGCTAGCCCTAAGAAACTACGAAGTTGTCCCTTTGTTTCGGGAGCCGGGATCTGCTTTATCGCCCTGACCTTCTCTGGATCGGCCCCGAGTATCACTCCTACTGCAGTTACACGGGCGTGATATGCGCGAAGCTTGTTAGCGTGAATGGTTCTGCGTGAACCGTCCTCGAGCTCATCTAAATGACTGTACGGTCGCAGTTTTGCGACCACTGTGATCGGTCCCTTCCACTTCGCCACTAGCTTCCCCTCTCCTTCCTTCTCGAGCCATAGTACTTGGTCCCCTGTGACAAACTGTTTGTCTGTGGCCCTCAAGTTATAGCGTCCTACGTACTCCTTTACATCTCGCGACATCTGCGGCCAGTGAAATGAGCTTTTCACTCGTTGTAGTGTTTTCCGCTCTCCTAAATGACCTGCCCATGGTGAATCGTGAGCCATTTTCAGCACT